CGAGACGCTAAGTTTACTCAACCGCATTCGACTTTCGCACATCACTGGATCAACCAACAGGTCTTCCCAGCTGGAGCCGCTGAGTTTTACAATGAAATACGCTGTTTTTGTATCACGTATTCCAACCATTCCACTATGGCATCCGCCTGTCCGTGAAGAGTCGCGTGTATACTATGGAAATTTAGGGAGTGCTGTAATGTGGTGCTGAGATCCAGTCATCAATGAAATAGAATATTTAAACTTTCTCTTTCTGGACACCACTTTTTTCGTCGGATTACATGAGTCACTTGGATTGGTCAAAAGAGCGATAGGCAGTACAAATCTGGAGCAACTAATCAAACTGGAATTTTTGGAGCACATTACCCTATCGCCTGATGGACCTCCACATGATACTTGTAGATGGGCAGTGAACGGAGAAAACTCAAGGAAGATACACTTAGTGCCAGATAACCAATAGAGTAGATCGACAAATTTTAGAGAAACAAAACAAAAATATAGGAGGCAAACAGAGATGAGTGAACAACATTTAAAGCGAGTGGATCAGTCTACGGTTTCTGTTCAGTTTTCTTAAACAACCTTCAGCTGCTTGACTGTAAAAACATCATGGTGCGCAGCGGTTACAGTCTAAAAGCAGCCTGAGAAACGGCAAATGGAAGGTAACACGAAGCTTTTCTCTTCAGAGGGAAGGAGGGCCTCATTGAGGCTTCCAAGCTCCAAGACTGTTTACATGTGGCCGAACAGTTCTGCCGCTTAACCACAAGGTTAAGTACAGCACCATATCGATTCCGGAGTTTGTCAGAGTCCGAAAAAACTGAAACTACCGAAGGTGGGTGCAAGCTATGAACACCAACTAGGGGGTCTGGAAGCAAACGTGTCAGACGCTTTCGATCAACAGTGCGACCGCGCGAGGGCGTAGCGAAATCATTAAACTGAAAACTCTTAGTGCAACGGCTCTTGTATTTGACGTTCGCGTTGGTATCCTCTCCTGGATTCACATAATTTCCTTTTTTTTACTCTTTTCTCTTCGCTCGACGCACGATGGAACATCAAACACACCTGATATCGACCGTTAACTTAGAGGGCTTACTCCTTTTCTACTACTCATAACTTTGATTCGGCACATAAAGTGCTAAGCGTCTGCAGGTCTAGAAATTTGAAGCCTTAATTCCAAAACATCGCAGCACCGAGATTTTAACAGCTGTCGTGTTTGTTATTTGTTCGGATCCTGTATGCTGTTAATCACGTCGTTCTTTTTATATTTCAGCCTATTTACTGATATTAATAGACGCGCGTTTTCTCTCTAATGTCGACCGTACTCGGTTGTTGACGTCCGTAACAAGCTCACCAGCGAAAAAACCCGGAGACCCCGGGAACTGCCGTCATAGTTCTGGCTGCAAGCTCAAGTTTACGGTATTTTATCAAATTAGACCATAACCGTGGGTCTCCAATCATGAAGCCAACGTAGTCTGACTGTCGTTCCATTCGGCAGAGTTTACACTCTTTCCAAGCCATATTTAGATCACCTTTAGTGTCTTTTTCAATATCCACCTCAACGCTGCACGACGGAAAAGTGGAACGGATACACGAAACGCGTCCCAGCCACTGTTACCTACGGAGGAAAAGCACTCGCGACCACGATTCCTGACCCAGACGTAACGTGTTCGGTGACCAATTGCACCCGTGCGATGTAGCTTGGACAAGTGTCTGAACATCGACAGTAGTCATCCTTTCGTATTCAAACTGTGTATTAGACTATGAAGGTGAAGATGACCATGGTCGTCTGCACATTTAACACCGGAACTACGCGAGTAAACAAGCAAACCAGTCCGCACGTTTGCGTACCTCTTTCTGGATGCTTCGTCTGCTTCTCGATGGCGAGGGTATTTAAGTGGCAACGACAAATCAACCCTTACTGTGTTGTGAAGACCGGAGCTAGACATCATTGTGTACATTTCCGAAGCAGGATTGAAAAATGACCCCGATGGTCACCGGCGGTTAGCTCATCTAGGATAACCAGGATACCTTGACTGAGTATCCTTAACATTAGAACGACGCGTTAACGCAGCAATCCCGACTGATACCACTACACAACAAATCGTGCTCCTTACATACGGCTGTCGTCCAACGGGGTGTCAACGAAAAAGCTTTCGATTTGTTTACCCATACACCTTCAACATGACTCGTCTTACAGTCAAAGCATGGAAGGAGTTTGCAATTGGGTGACTTACCTTATCTTTCGCAGTTTGTTGAGTGCAACAACGCCGAAAATTCCGTGATCTAAAAGGAAATAGAACACGCTTTTTGGCCACGTTGAATAGACACTGATCACAAGGGCTCTTGCAAAACCTTGGCTGTGGGGAACTACCGCGACTGTACCGGACGTGACTGGCTCACAGAGCTGTATACGAAAGCCAGTGGCTGACGAGTAGTCTGCATCCAGTTCGCTCTGCATCTTCAGATACTTGGAATATTCTTCATCGCGAATTGTGACAAAGAACTCCTTGGAAGCATAAAGACTGCGAACATGGACGGGTACGGCCTCGCCTAAAGGCAGAAAGCGCTACGAAACGTTAGGGATCAAAGGTGATAGTACCTTAAGCTGGTTGGGGTTTCCGATTGGTGTTCTTGATGGACGCATACGGAAGCGTCTGGAAACCCATTGCAAAACATCGTCTTTGTGCTTGATGGGACAAGAGAGTTTGAAAATCAGTGTGTCCTGTCGACCAGGACAGGTATTCAGGGAAAACTCCGCTTGCCAAATGTTTTTCAGTTCACGGACATTTCTGATGAATAAGAAATAACGATAATTTTGTACCTACTTTCCCAATCGCCCGATCAGAACGCCACCCATATGGGCAGGAACGCAAAAGGTCTCGTGCCAGATATCTTGATCCACTGCTTCCGCCCATAAGTCGCTAGGAATGAGGACTTTAGGGAGCATGGTTCCATTCAACTCCTCTGGGTTATCCTCGTATATGTCGTTCGAAGGATCATTGAAGTAACCCGGAGGAAAACTCAGAGCATCCTGAGGGTCGCCGTTAGAAGAAATTTGCGAATCCGGTGTTCGAGGATGTTCAGAACTGGACTCCGGACTGGCAAAATCCCTATCGTACATTGCCAGTTCTACCATTTGGCTAGATTGAGAATGGACAGCCTCAACAGGTTGCACGGTTTCTTCCACGACTTCCAAGGTGGCGTTAGACTCAGTGATGGAGATGTTGACTACTTCGGAATGGGATTTGGGTTCAGTTAGACAAATGTTTGCGCACAAGGTGACCTAAAAAGTATGGTACTTATTCGGTTAGTATATCCTACTTTCGCCACAGCAGGAATAAACACCGGAGAAAATTCCACACACTGTTCCAGCTCCGAGACTACGAGTGCCTAGTGGACAGGTTAGCACGAGAACATTCACCAACCTCGGGAGTACGTAACGGTGACAGTTCTATACAGGATTCCTCGGGAGGAAAATGAATCTAAAAATTCGCCTTAGATCAAGCAGACCTACTTCTTCACTGACTGCCTGATGAGTCTTTCTATAACAATGACGCCTACGATACAGCACGTATATAACCGTGGCGGCAAATGCAGAGCATATAACCAAGCGATCGAACAAGGGCATGCGGGAGGGATTGGTATCTTTAATCAACTAAATTATGATGCAAGCAGCAAATTGCCACTAATGGGTTGGAAAAATGAAAAGTTACATCAAAGTTTACGGAACATGCAACACACGCCTTTTTCCGAACAGTGCCAAACGAGGGTTTGTTGGTTAAAACAAACATGGGTCATGAGTTGGGTCTGCTGGCACAGCACTGTGAATTGCCACATTCAAGTGAATCGACGGAATTCTCTTGATGGTATGATCACTCCGTGGGCACTCGACCTGGTTAAAACGATTGAGAGAAATATGACCTGGCCACATTCGCGATCGCGACTCTCTAGGACGTGTGCAACGAAGGGCCACGAAACCTGTACATAGCTTGTCAGAAATCCCTTATCTCATCCGGCTACAACAGCTGAATCAGTATCCCCTAGATATACGACATATTAGAGGGGATCTTTTTCTTCTGTATAACCTTTTCTCATCAGGTCCAGTTGACCGTTTCTTCACGCGCCCTTGTAGTAGCCATTCACATCCCTTTTTCAATGTACCTTTCCTCCTGTGCATCTCATTGTTTTATCACAACAAGGCCACCTCTTTGGTCAGTACGTGTTTGTTTTCACTTTCCGCACGCTTCCTCACGCCTCTGTATCTCTCCCTTGATCTGCAGATCTTAGCAATACACATTGTAGTGGCTCAGTGTTGTCGTTCACCCGTGCGATACTCTGTTATTGCGACGTCGTGGAATTTTTCCA